GGAAATATGCTTTCATGGGTAGGAAGAAGAGCAGGAAATGCTACTGTTAGATGTCGACTTGATAGGGCTGTGGGTAATGAGAATTGGCATGAGAAATTCCCTCATTCTAAAGTTCAGTATCTCAGGCTTTGGGGTTCGGATCATCGTCCAATCCTGGCAGACATTCTTAAAAAGAAGCCACAAAGATCGAAAAACTTTAAATTTGATAAGCGATGGCTTCAGAATGAGGAACTACGACAAATTATACTTGAAGGATGAAAGTCACCAGATGTACCACCGGGAGCAAGTATTATGGAGCACAGCACAAGCTGCAGGCGGGCGTTAAGTGATTGGAAAACGCAACACAATCTGAATTCAGATAAAAGTGTAGAGGAGTTAAAGGAAAAGGTGGATCGATTATCCTCCAATGATGATGCCACTACAGAGGAGATAGCGGCGGCTCTAAAAGAATTGTCTGACGCCCTTAAGGCGGAGGAATTATTCTGGAAGCAGAAGTGTAGGGTTTTCTGGTTAAGGGAGGGAGATCGTAACACTAAATTTTTTCATGCTTTAACGAAGCAGCGAAGAGCGAGGAACAGGATAACCCAACTTTTAGATGCCGATGGGAATGTTGTGGAGGATGAGGAAGGCCTGGTAGCCATTGCTACTAATTATTTTCGCCAAATATTTCAATCATCGAACCCTGAAGAGATTGAGGAGGCACTTTCTGAAGTAACCACTACAGTTACGCCTGCTGATAATGAGGGGCTCACAGCTCCGGTTATAGAGTGGGAGGTTAAACTAGCCCTCTTTGCTATGCATCCTGAGAAGGCTCCTGGACCTGATGGAATGACAGCCTTGTTCTATCAAAATTTTTGGGATATCGTTAAGGATGATTTAACTCGTATGGTTAATGAATTCTTATTCCAAGGGACTATTCTGGCTGATACTAATATATGTCTTATCCCAAAAGATGACAAGCCAAATCAGATGAGTCAACTACGACCAATCAGCCTTTGTAATGTTTGCTACAAGATTATCTCAAAGGTTTTATGCCAAAGACTTAAAAAGGTTCTCCCAGATAGGATTTCTGAAACCCAGTCAGCCTTTGTTGCTGGGAGACAGATATCAGACAACATAATGATTGCCCAGAAATTGTTCCATGCCTTAAGAACAAAACCAAGTGGGCGCAATAAGAGGATGGCCATCAAGACAGACATGAGTAAGGCATATGATCGTATGGAATGGTCTTTCATTGAAGCCACCATGAGGAAGATGGGGTTCTCCGAAATCTGGATTACCTGGATTATGCGATGCATAACGACAGTAAAATATAAGGTACTCATGAATGGACAGCCACGAGGGAATATTGTCCTGGAGAGAGGTATACGTCAAGGAGATCCTTTGTCCCCTTTCATTTTTATTCTATGCACGGAAGCGCTCGTTAGCCTTTTTAATCACGCAGAGAATCTGGGAAAGATAACGGGGATGCGCATCACACGTGCGTGTCCCTCGGTATCCCACATGCTCTTTGCTGATGATAGCCTGTTCTTTTGTAAGGCGGTGCCCCGTGAATGTGAAGAAGTAATGAAAGTGGTTAGGAAATATGGACAAGCCTCTGGACAGTGCATCAATTTTGACAAGTCTTCTTTACTCTTTGGTAAGAGGATCGGTCAAGAAGCCAGGCAGGAGATCAAAGATACACTTGGGATACAAAATGACGCAGGAATGGGGACCTACCTAGGGATACCAGAGGACATCAGTGGATCGAAATGTAAGATGTTTGCCATCCTAAAAGACAAACTTCGGAACAGAGTGAATGGATGGACGGGAAGGTGGTTGTCCAAAGGTGGAAAGGAAATTATGATTAAGTCAATCTTGCTAGCCCTCCCAACATATGTTATGTCTTGCTTTTTGCTTCCATTGGAGATATGTGATGCCTTGGCTAGTGCCATTGCACAGTTTTGGTGGAGCTCAAACCCACCAAAGAGAGGCTTACACTGGACAACATGGGATAAGCTATGTCTATCTAAAGAGGAAGGAGGAATTGGTTTCAGGATGATTCATGAGTTTAACCTGGCATTACTAGCAAAGCAGTTGTGGAGATTGGCTCAAAATCCGGATTCATTGGTTGCTCGAGTTATGAGAGGGCGGTATTACAGACTATGTTCGCCTTTCGAAAGCTCACTGTCGGCAGTCCATCGTATGTGTGGACAAGCATCTCGTCTGCACGTGAATTATTGCTATTGGGGGTTAGACAGAAGATTCATTCTGGATATGAAGTGAAGGTATGGGAGGACCCATGGATTCCCACGATCCCAGCGCATGCTTCAGCCCCGGTTCTGCATCCGAATATGCGAGTGAGTGATCTTATTAATCAAGAAACAAAGTCTTGGGATCTGGATCGGCTGGCAAATTATGTTGACGCTGCTGATATACCTCTCATAAAGAGTATGGCTATTAGTTCAACCCATCGTAGAGACACACACTGCTGGAGTTACACAAGGAGTGGGCAGTATACCGTCAAGTCCGGATATTGGGTAGCTCGTAATATACTAATGAAGGAGGATGTGAATTTGGTAGATGAACCTAGCTTTAAAAGGCTTCAAGCACAAGTTTGGAAGGTTAAAGCACCCCCGAAGATGTGTCATCTTATGTGGCAGATTATATCGGGGCAGGTGGCTGTTACGAGTGCGCTGAATCACAGACACATGAGATGCGATAATTTCTGCCCTCGATGCGGAGAACCGGATGAAACAATTGCACATGCAATTTTCCAATGCCCACCGGCTTTACAGGTATGGGCCTTAGCATTTATACCTACCAGCTCAACACTATTCCCTTTGGAGAGCACATATGCGAATATGGATTATCTGTTCTGACGGAAGAAGATCATTTGTGGGCCAGAATTAGAAAGGGATCCTTACCCTTGGTTGATATGGTACATTTGGAAGGCTCGGAATGACAAGTTGTTCAGAGGAATAGATATAGACCCTTTGGAATTGGCCCGGTATGCGGAGAGTGAGTGTCTTGCCTGGTTCCAAGCTAATGAGCAGGATGTTGTGATTACACAAGAGGACGGTGATACTGGACGTCAGGCCATACGCCTACGAGATATTTGCATGATAGATGGTTCTTGGACTTCTATAGATCAATTTTCCGGTTGTGGTTGGGACTGGATGGATAGCATGGGAAATAGTCAGCTGATGGGGATGCGTAATGTGAGTAGAGTAGAGTCAGCTTTGCATTCTGAGCTGGAAGCGCTGCGGTGGGCAATGGAGAACATGCTTCAACATTCACCATGTCAGAGCTTTGGGACGGACTGCAAGGAATTATTAGAAATTCTCAAGGATCCCCATGGATGGCCAAGGTTTTCGACGGAACTGGAGAGGATCTCGACGCTGAGGATTTAATTCCCAGACTTTAAGATTTCTTATGTACCTCGACCCCTAAATGTTGTGTCCGGTCATTTAGCTAAGACTGCCCGATCCTTTTATCGGGATCTCATGTATGTTGGTTGTTCTATTCCGGTCTGGATTCCCAGACCACCTCAAGCTTAAGTAATAGATCTGCCGTTCGTTGTCAAAAAAAAAAAAAATATATATATATATAACTTCTGTAGTTCAGATGGTAGGTGTAACCCTATGAACCTGAAAATAGAGTAATTCTTAGGTTCACCCCATAGGATGAATTTAGAGGTTCACCAACCAATAAAATTTCATTGTTTTATATTTGGTATCTTTTAAAAAATAAATAAAATATTATTGAGTTATATTATGTTTTTAAAATAAAAAAATAATAGTAGTTGCAAACAAAAAATTAAAAAAATATATTTTTAACACCATCAGCAAAACATCAAACCTTAAATCCTAAATCATTGGGTAAACCCTAAACCCTTGGGTAAACCCTAAATCCTTGGATAAATATTTGATTTTGTAAAAAATATTTTTGTTACTGCAGCAAAACACTAAACCCTAAATCCTAAACCCTAAACCCTTAGGTAAACTCTAAACCCTTGGATTAATCATAAATCCTAGGGTTTAAGATTAATCCAAGGATTGAGGATTTACTCAATGGTTTACGGTTTATGATTTAGGGTTTAGTGTTTTGCTGGTGTTAATAAAAATATTTTTTTTAAAGCGTTTCTTTTTATTTGTAACTACTATTAGTTTTTATTTATTTTTATTTTTTAATTTTAAAAACATAATATAGCTCGATAATATTTTGTTTCCTTTTTAAAAAAATACTAAATATAAAACAATGAAATTCTATTGGTTGGTGAATCTAGATGTTCACCCTAGGGGGTGAACCCAAGAATTTCTCCTGAAAATAACCAAAGGTTCGCTTCTTTACACCCTTTGACATTATCTTTTTACTAAAACAATATATTGAACCATGAAATACCTAATGCTGGGTCCGCCCCTAACTATAAAGCTGAATGACTCTTACGTATGATAGCAGTGAAGCAATTACAATACAATATCATGATTTGTTTTTTTGGTTTCTCTCGGACTCTCACAACCGGGCATGACCGGTTATGGACAGAAGTCACAACCATATAAACCACTCGTTTCGGTTCCAAATTTTATGAAAAAAACTACTATTCTATTTCTATTTATATGATCTTTTAGAAAATTTAAGTTATTTCAAAATATTAGATATTTTGAGATTTTAAAACTATGTTATGAGGTTTTAAGGTTAGTTTTAATTTTATTAGAAATTGTTCCCATAAAATTTTACAATATTTTTTATAATTTATTGAATGATTTTAAAATTATATCTTTAGAAATACCTTTTAAAAGAATGTAAATGTCTTAATGTGTGTACACTAAACCAGAACATATAAAAAAGAACAGAGGGAGTATATTTTTTATCAAAATAAAAAATACTATATAGATTAAATGGTCTATTACTGTTGATTTTTCTTTCATTAAGATTAACACAAAAAATATTGATGACCCTAAAATTTCAGATCTGGTATTTTATCAAGACGCTAATGTGGATATAAAGTGGGACATCACATGACGAATGAAACTGAGGGTAGTTACTCGGCTAATGTCACAATCTCCAACTACGTGAAGGATCACCAATTTGAACAGCCATGGAAATTAGCGCTTATATGGGTCAAAAGGGAAACACTAGTGAGCACTGTGGGCTATGAAGGCACACAACACGGTTTTGTTTCTTTCGGTGAGGGCGACATCAACACTTACTTCTTGAACAACATGACCTTTGTGGACTTACCGCGACAAAGTAATGATCATAATTGCATAGGTGGTACTGTGATTCTTCCGCGGGTAACAAAAGCTGACCTTGCGAAAAGCTCAACTTCGTTTCAAGTTTCTGTTAGCCATTCTAATAGAGGATATCATGCGCAGCTACCTTCAGATGTAACTTTGACCACATGAGGATTTGAATATGAGAGTGAATGTGATTAAATGTAGCAAGTAATTGATGCTCATCTGAGTAAGTCCATATGTTGTATTGTTGTGGTACAACTTATACATACCCACTTCTTTTGTAAGCTTTTTACGATCTGTTCATGTCTCTTTTTCTTCTTCTTTAGATACATGGAGGACGACGTGCATTCTCTACATTGCCAAAGCTAACAAGTTCGACGAGATTCATGAAGAATTATGGTTTATGAAGCTGTGGTTTTTTTTTTCGTTTTTCTGTTTTATGTCGAATTTTCACTTTTTATGTGAGTCTGGTAATAAATTAAAATGTCCTAATTTTCGGCTACTTCCACTTGATTGAATTCGATTTAATTTTAATTTACTTTTGGTTCGAGTCTCCCACCCAGATTATGTACGAAGTTGTTTATTATGTGGTGGTTAAAACCAAAAAAATAATCAAATCTATAAGAAAATTTATGTTCGTTATGTTACATATTAAATGTCATTTTAGGTGATCTTTTTGATGAGGAGCTTATGGAGCTGGAGATACCAAAGGAGAGGCATATCTCACGACATAAAGAGACTGCTAGAACTTCCAAGAATGTCAAGGGTTCAAGGAGTGGGATCAGAAAAACACCCAAGAAGAAAGAGGTTCTACGCCGGGGCTCCCCGCGGTTGAGAGTCCTAAGCTCATCAGCGCACAAGCACCCTGCTGATAAGGGCGCTACACGAAGTTCCAGTCACCGAGTTCGAACAGATCGTCCCAAACTTCGCAACGATGGTGGTTCGTTGGGGTCCAAAAACCCATCCCACAATCATCCATGAGGACACTCAGTTGGAACTGTCGAGGGATTGGGACTGACCTCACAGTTCGACGCCTTACGGAGATGTGTCAGAAGCATCGCCCAGGACTAGTGTTCCTTTCTGAAACAAAAAATAGGAGGCTGTTGTTGCAAGACATTCAGGCCGACTTAGGTTATGATCGTTTGTTCACCGTTGAGCCTCATGGACTCAGCGGCGGTTTAGCTTTGTTTTTGATGGATGATTTTCAAGTTAAGATTTTATTTTCGAATAATAGAATGATAGATATTGAGGCAGTCATTGATGGAATAAAAGTCTATATGACATTTGTTTATGGGGACCCTGTAGTAGAAAGAAGAGATGTAGTTTGGGAACGTCTTACGTGTTTCTCAACAACACGAAATGGGCCTTGGTTTATGATTGGTGACTTCAATGAAATAACGTGTCATGAAGAGAAGGAAGGGGGGGAGACAACGCACTGATAGCTCCTTCCTGCCTTTCAAGCAGATGCTTAGCGATTGTGGTATGCTGGAGTTCCCTTTTACTGGGAATATGCTATCCTGGGTAGGGAGACGGGCAGGGAATGCAACTGTTAGATGTCGTCTAGACAGAGCTGTCGGAAATGAGCACTGGCATGATAAGTTTCCACATTCAAAAGTGCAATACCTACGACTATGGGGGTCGGACCATCGTCCAATCCTAGCAGATGTTCTCAGGAAAAAGCCACGACGGTCTAAGAATTTTAAATTTGATAAGCGTTGGCTCCAGAATGAGGAACTCAGACAAATTATACTTGAAGGTTGGAAATCGCCAGATCTACCACCGGGTGCAAGTATTATGGAACATATTATAAGTTGCAGGCGAGCGCTATGTGATTGGAAACGACAGCACAATCTGAACTCAGAGAAAAGTATAGAGGAGCTGAAGGAAAAGGTGGATCGGTTATCCTCTAATGATGATGCCACTACTGAGGAGATAGCGGAGGCTCTCAAAGAATTGTCTGATGCCCTTAAGGCGGAGGAACTATTCTGGAAGCAGAAGTGCAGGGTATTCTGGTTAAGGGAGGGTGACGGAAACACCAAATTTTTCATGCTTTGACGAAACAGCGACGTGCAAGGAACAGGATCACCCAACTTTTAGATGCTGATGGGAATGTTGTGGAGGATGAGGAAGGCCTGGTAGCCATTGCTACTAGCTATTTCCGACAAATATTTCAATCATCGAACCCTGAAGAGATTGAGGAGGCTCTTTCTGAAGTTACCACGACGATTACGCCTGCAGACAATGAAGGGCTCACAGCTCCGGTTACAGAGTGGGAAGTTAAATTAGCTCTCTTTGCTATGCATCCTGAGAAAGCTCCGGGACCTGACGGAATGACAGCTTTGTTCTATCAAAATTTTTGGGATATTGTTAAGGAAGACTTAACTCGTATGGTTAATGAATTTCTTTTTCAAGGAGTTATTCCGACTGGGCTTAATGATACTAATATATGCCTTATCCCAAAAGTTGATAAGCCAAACCAGATGAGCCAACTTCGACCCATCAGTCTTTGTAATGTTTGTTATAAGATTATCTCAAAGGTCTTATGCCAGAGACTGAAGAAGGTTCTCCCGAATAGGATTTCTGAAACCCAGTCAGCCTTTGTTGCTGGGAGACAGATATCAGATAACATAATGATAGCCCAGGAACTGTTCTATGCCTTAAGAACAAAACCTAGTGGACGCAATAAGAGGATGGCCATCAAAACAGACATGAGTAAAGCATATGATCGTATGGAATGGTCTTTCATTGAAGCCACCATGAGAAAGATGGGATTTTCAGAGGTCTGGATTACCTGGATTATGCGATGTATAACGACAGTAAATTATAAGGTACTTATGAATGGACAGCCACGAGGGAATATTGTCCCGGGGAGAGGTTTACGTCAGGGAGATCCTTTGTCCCCTTTCATTTTTATTCTATGCACGGAAGCGCTCGTTAGCCTTCTTAATCACGCAGAGAATCAGGGAAAGATAACGGGGATGCGCATTACGCGTGCGTGTCCGTCGGTGTCCCACCTTCTCTTTGCTGATGATAGCCTTTTCTTTTGCAAGGCGGAGCCCCGTGAATGTGAAGAAGTAATGAAAGCGGTGAGGAAGTATGGGCAAGCCTCTGGACAGTGTATCAATTTTGACAAATCTTCCTTACTCTTTGGTAAGAGGATCGGTCTTGAGGCCAGGCAAGAGATTAAGGATACACTTGGGATCCAAAATGATGCAGGAATGGGCTCCTACCTAGGTATACCAGAGGATATTAGTGGATCGAAATGTAAGCTGTTTGCTTTCTTAAAAGACAAACTTCGGAACAGAGTGAATGGATGGACGGGTAGGTGGTTGTCTAGAGGCGGAAAGGAAGTTATGATCAAGTCAATCCTGCTGGCACTACCAACTTATGTTATGTCTTGCTTTTTGCTTCCTTTGGAGATATGTGATGCCTTGGCTAGTGCCATTGCACAGTTCTGGTGGAGTTCAAACCCGCCAAAGAGAGGCTTACATTGGACAACTTGGGACAAGTTGTGCCTATCTAAAGAGGAAGGAGGAATTGGCTTCAGGATGATCCATGAGTTTAACCTGACATTATTGGCAAAGCAGATGTGGAGATTGGCACAAAACCCAGATTCTTTGGTTGCTCGAGTTATGAGAGGGCGATATTATCGACAAAGCTCGCCTTTGCGGAAGCTTCCTGTCAGTAGTCCATCCTATGTGTGGACAAGCATATCGGCTGCGCGAGATTTACTGTTATTGGGGGTAAGACATAAGATTCATTCAGGCTATGAGGTTAAGGTATGGGAGGATCCATGGATCCCCAGAGTTCCAGCAAGATCAGCGCGCGCATCTGCTCCGGTCCTGCACCCGAATATGCGAGTAAGTGATCTTATCAATCAAGAAACAAAGGCTTGGGATCTGGAAAGATTAGGAAATTATCTCGATGATGCCGATATACCTCTCATAAGGAGTATGGCTATTAGTTCAACCCATCAACGGGATACTCATTGCTGGAGCTATACAAGGAGTGGGCAGTATACTGTCAAGTCCGGATATTGGGTGGCTCGTAATATACTAATGAAGAAGGAGGGGAACCCGGTGGATGAACCCAGCATAAAAGGGCTTCAAGCGCACGTTTGGAAGGTTAAAGCACCCCCGAAAATGTGTCATCTTATGTGGCAGATCATTTCAGGGCAGGTTGCTGTTACGAGTGCGTTGAATCATAGACACATAAGATGCGATAATTTCTGTCCAAGATGTGGAGAACCGGATGAAACAATTGCACATGCAANGTCATCTTATGTGGCAGATCATTTCAGGGCAGGTTGCTGTTACGAGTGCGTTGAATCATAGACACATAAGATGCGATAATTTCTGTCCAAGATGTGGAGAACCGGATGAAACAATTGCACATGCAATTTTTCAATGCCCACCGGCTTTACAGGTGTGGGCCCTATCATCTATACCCACTAGCCCAGCTTTATTTCCCCTGGAGAGCACATATACGAACATGGATTACCTGTTCTGGCGGAAGAAGATCATTTGTGGGCCAGACCTAGACAAGGATCCTTATCCTTGGATAATATGGTACATTTGGAAGGCTCGAAATGATAAGTTATTCAGGGGAATAGACAGAGACCCTCTGGAACTGGCCCGATATGCGGAGAGTGAGTGCCTTGCCTGGTTCCGGGCTAATGAGCATGAGGCTACGATTACACATGAGAACGATAATAATGGATGTCAGGCCATAAGCCTACGAGGAATATGTATGATAGACGGTTCTTGGACCTCTATGGATCAGTTCTCTGGTTGTGGTTGGGTCTGGAAGGACAGCATGGGAAATAATCAGTTGATGGGGATGCGCAATATGAGGAGAGTGGAGTCGGCTTTGCATTCGGAGCTGGAAGCGCTGCGGTGGGCAATGGAGAACATGCTTCAACATTCGCCATGTCAGAGCTTTGGGACGGACTGCAAGGAATTGATAGCGATGCTCATGAATCCTCATGGATGGCCAAGTTTTTCGACGGAATTGGAGAGGATCTCGACGTTGAGGATTTGTTTCCCAGAATTCAAAATCTCTTATGTACCTAGATCTCTAAATGCTGTGTCTGATCATCTAGCTAGGACTGCACGATCCTTCTATCGGGAGCTTTTGTTTGTTGGTTGTTCTATTCCGGTCTGGATTCCCAGACCACCTCAAGCTTGAGTAATAGATCAGCCTTTCGTTGTCAAAAAAAAAATATGTAACATAATGATCATAAATTTTCTTATAGATTTTAATTTTTTTGGTTTAACCACCACATAACAAACAACTTCGTACATAATCTGGATAGGAGACTCGAACCAAAAGTAAATTAAAATTAAATCGGATTCAATCAAGTGTAAGTAACCGAAAATTAGGACATTTTAATTTATTACCAGACTCACATAAAAAGTGAAAATTCGACATAAAATAGAAAAACGAAAAAATCACAGCTTCATAAATCATAATTCTTCATGAATCTCGTCGAACTTGTTAGCTTTGGCAATGTAGAGAATGCACGTCGTCCTCCATGTATCTAAAGAAGAAAAAAGAGACATGAACTGATCGTAAAAAGCTTACAAAGAAGTGGGTATGTATAAGTTGTACCACAACAATACAATATGTGGACTTACTCAGATGAACATCAATTAATTGCTCCATTGAATCACATTCACTCTCGTATTCAAATCCTCGTGTGGTCAAAGTTACCTCTGAAGGTGGCTGCGCACGATATCCTCTATTAGAATGGCTAACAAAAACTTGAAACGAAGTTGCAGCTTTTCGCAAGGTCAGCTTTTGTTACCAGCGGAAGAATCATGGGCGAATCTACTAAGCTCAGGAAGGGAGCAGCTGCCCCACAAAAAATTAGAATTATATTTATTTGCATTTGATTACGTGTAAATCTGCAACTAAGTTGGCTAAAACCTACTATTTGCCCCCATTAAATCCATTTTAGAACCTTTTCTTGTCCGTTCTGAATTACTCTTTTTATATTATTTTTCTTTCTATTTTTCTCAGTTTTCTTTTTCTATGTGTTAATATTTCATTTTTTACCCTACGTTTTGTTCCATAGAATCTTTTTTTTGGTAGACTGTTTTTTTTGTTAATGTGTTTATTCTTTTTTTTCTTTTTAGTTAAAAAATTATTTTAACTGTATTATTTAGTTGTTTTTTTCTTTATATGTTATCTTTATTAAAAGATATAACACATTCATATAAAATATATATAAAAATATTTTATGCCGCCACTTCAAATATTTTCTAGATCCGCCACTGGGAAAAATCACAGTACCACCTATGCAATTATGATCACTACTTTGTCACGGTAAGTCCACAAAGGTCACGTTATTCAAGAAGTACGTGTCGGCGTCTCCCTCACCGAAAGTATCAAAGCCGTGTTGTGTGCCTTCATAACCCAAAGTGCTCACTAGTGTTTCCCTTTTGACCCATATAAACACTAAATTTCATGGCTGTTCAAATTGGTGATCCTTCACGTAGCTGGAGATTGTGACATTAGCCGAGTAACTACCCTCAGTTTCATTCGTCATGTCCCACTTTATATCCACATTAGCGTCTTGATAAAATACCAGATCTGATATTTTAGGGTCATCAATATTTTTTGTGTTAATCTTAATGAAAGAAAAATCAACAATAATAGACCATTTAATCTATATAGTATTTTTTATTTTGATAAAAAATATACTCCCTCTATTCTTTTTTATATGTGTTGGTTTAGTGTACGAAGATTAAGACATTTACATTCTTTTAAAATGTATTTTTAAAGATAATTTTAAAATCATTTAATAAATTATAAAAAAAAAGATTGTAAAATTTGATGGGAACAATTTTCAATAAAATTAAAACCAACCTTAAATCTCAAAACATAGTTTAAGTTATTTCAAAATATTAGATGATTAGTCCAAGTATATGTTTAGGCGACAGCATATAGATTCCATACACAAACCCTTAAGAAAATCGTCAAAACACCAAAAGAAACTATTCTCCTTGAGATCCACAAAGTTATACCAAATAAAGGAAATTGCTACCTACGAATTGCTGATCTTTTCTCAGACTATCATTAAGCCACAATTAAAGGTGTGAGACAAGGACCAACATTGTTACTTTGTTAGACTATCTCCAATGGTTTACATTATTTTTATTCTAAAATAGAGTCACTCTATAATAGAGTTGGAATTTACTCCAATGGTACTCTATTTTAGAATTAAAAATAGAGTGATAACAAAAAAAAACAAGTTAATCTATATTTGGAGTAAACCTATTTTTCACTCTATTATAGAGTAAGATATAGAATACCATTGGAGTACTTTTATTTTAAAACTCTATTTTAGAGTGAAAAATAGAGTGGGATTGGAGATGTCCTTAGTACCAATCAACTATATCCCCGAATGTGGTGGAACCAACTCCTTCCCAGACTTCACTATGTCCCACTTCTTCGGAGTCAACACCTTCCATCTCACAGTCCCAAAACCCTGAACCATTTGCATCTGTTGGCAAGTTTTATGAGGATCAGACTTTATAAAAGAGTTTTTGTTTCAAGTAATTAAAAGAAGTATTTATTGTCACTCACAATGGTTATAATTCGGTTTCTGCTTCTTACAACTAGTGTTGTTGCTTGCTCTTTCACCTTCCTCGTGCATGGCATTGATACTTTTGAGTTGTTCTCTCCAAAGACTGAGACAGGCTTTCTCGTTCTATCCATGCTCTCCATACCTTGGAAAGGATCTTTTCTCTTCTTTGATAATCTATCATCCTTCATTACAATGATTTTACAAAAATAATAATAATAAACAATTAAAATTAAATTAATTTTATAATTAAATAAGATTTATTATTTTCAATAAAAATATATTATTAATATAATATATTATTTTAAAATAAATATATTATATGTTATATATAAACATTTATGATAATTTTATAATTGTATATTGCTACTCTACTAGGCAATTTATTAAAATTATAATGAGAACATACAACTTCTTCAGCCTATATTTTTATAGCATATTGCTACTGTTTTATCACCAATAGTGTCCATCGAGGTTTTTGCCACACTTTCTCCCGCTGATGCTCTCAACTTGTCGAATTTTTTCTTTACCAAAGAGGAAAGCACAACCTTAGGATCATCTTGGGAGTCTTAGACGTGGTGAACCCATCAGAACTAATTTTGTTTTCTGCCCACTGGAACTTGCTTGTAAAGATTATTGGTAGGTTCACTAGATATCGTGAAGTTATTGAAAAGTTATTTCATTTACCGAAACTTTTTTGTACCCATGGTTTAGTGTTTCTTTTTAAAAAGTTATTTCATTTATCGGTGAGTTCACCAGACCCATCATCACATCATTCTTCTCGGCTGAAAGAAAAAAATACCATCACTTTGTTGAATAAGCTTGAGAAACAAGTAACCTAATTCTATTGAGTTATAGAATAGGAAATTAGTCATTTGTGTTTAACTTAATGAGTTTAGGAAGTTTTTGGATTATATGAGGAGATGCTAAGTTGTTGCAGAACTTATGAATGGAGAGAGATTTAGTTTTTGAGTTATTTTCTAAAGCATTGAGAGAGTTATAATAAAAGAGTTTGAGTTTCAGAAGATCTTGAGTTCTTGTGTTGAGTTACTACTATAGTTTGATTCAATACACTTACTCTTTGAGTGGTGCTTTGTCTCCAATCTTTAAACAGATGTGTTTATCCATATCTATAATCGTTTTTCAAAGGATTTTGTTTCGATGTTATTTCGAAGTGTGGTCCTGTGGATTGGGTGTTAACGTTACAATTTAATGTGACTAAATCTCAAACTTTAAGCGATGCTATGAACCTTACTTCGATGCATTTGAACTTTGCTTTGACTTCGTTATATCATTTTATCTTAGAGGTCTATCTTTCATGTTTTATTGTGTTATATATATGCTTGTGGAGTTTTGAACAGTTCTCTTTCTTTATGGTTCGAATGTTCAAATTTGTAGATGAAAGTGGTGTAAGCTCAAGGATTGCGAGCCTGTTCCGTCTAAGATGTGAGTGTGTTACACAGTGCGATGATTGTGTAACACAGTGCAATAAGTTTGTCACGTGTAATGACATGGGACAAACTTATAGAAATAGAAGATATTGCTTGGGTGCGAAGCAAAGAAGATCTTCTAGCTGGCGCTATTTTTGGAAGTAGAATATTATCTTTTTCATGCCTACTTAACGAGGCAACCTAAGAGGGTTTTAGGTTAGACGTTAAGAGAGAAAAAGCTAGAGCAAGAGAGTTGTTCTTGTCGGCTACATAGATCAAGAAATCAGGGGTTTGGCTTGGGTTTCTGTAACTTAGAGATTAGGAACTGGTCCGTCACTAGTCGGGTGTGACTGAGCTTAAATCGGATTAAACAGATCTAGGAAGATTGTTTAAAAGGTTTCTAATATACAAGAAGTGTTCTTGAATAACTTGTGTACGGTTCTTATTTACGTGTCTCTGAACTTTCAATTGGTATCAGAGAAGGAAACCTCTGTGGTATCAAGTACTACTAACAGGTTGAGATCCTGCGGATTTCATGGACACCATGAAAGAACTCCTACACATTCACAAGCCTATTATGCTTGACAGTACCAACTTCGGTCACTGGAAGGTGAGGATGCAACACATCATCAGAGGAGTTGATGAAGATGCTTGGACGTCTGTAGAAGATGGCTGGAGTGCGCCTACTGTCATCCTGGAAGATAAGACTGTTGGTCCAAAACCTAAAAATCAGTGGACTGATGGTGAGAAGAAAGCATCAAAATTCAACTCCAAAACCCTAACTGTCATATTCTCATCAGTAGATGCTGAGCAATTCAAGATCATACAAGGATGTAAATCTGCCAAGCAAGCATGGGAGACATTCATTAATCACTTTGAGGGAAACATTAGTGTGAGGAGAACTCGTCTTGATCATCTTGCCTCCAAGTTTGAAGACCTAAGGATGAGCGATGATGAGCCAATTGATGGTTTCATATGCAAGATCAGCGAGCTGGCAAGTGAAGCATCTGTCCTCGGCAAGAAGTATGAAGAAAAGGACTTAGTGAAGAAACTGTTGAGATGCTTACCTCCACGGTTTGAGGCTTATAAAGCGGTACTCACACTTGCTGTAGACACAGATGAGATGAAGTTTGATCAACTCTCAGGAATTCTGAAGGTACATGATCTTGAGAAGAATGACAGACAAGCCGCAAATCAGAAGAGCATCGCCTTCACAACTGAGTCTAAGGATGATAGTCGTGTCACCAAGATTGAAGAGAATCTGAGTTTAATGGCTCGAAACTTCAACAAGTACATCAAGCGCATGGAGAAAGGGAATGGAAGATCAAGTGGTCGCTATCAACAGAATGACAGTGAAAGGGGCAGTTCTCAGAACTCAAGACAGGAGTCTAGCAACAACACCAAGAAGTGTCATGAATGTGAAGGTTACGGCCACTTTAGAAGTGAGTGTCCTCTAGCTAAGAGAAAAGAGGAAAAATGTATTAAGTGCAAAGGCATTGGGCACAATCGCAGTGAGTGTCCTAGTATTCTCAGGAAAGAGAAGCCTCTCAGTTGTTTCAGTGATACGGAATCTGATAGCGATAGTGATGAAGGTGAGCTGCATCTAAACTTCATGGCGTTGATCGGTTAAGAAAGTGGAAAAGATACTGATGTTGACAGCGAGGATGACAGTGATCTTGAGCAAGATCTTGAATCTGACTATAAGACCCTCCTTAATAAGTTCTCAGATCTTAGTCATGAGAACCTTGCGCTGCTCAAAGAGACTGCCATGCTGAGAGCTCAGGTTAACATACTGGAACTTGATCAGCCCTCTATCAAGACAAAGAAGTACTCAATTGACCGAGAATCAGATCAAGAAGTTCTTGCACTTAAGAGAGCTATGAAGGAGCATGAAGGAGTTCGTAAGGAAGCTGAAGCTAAAGTGCAAAGGCTAAGTGATCTATTGGCTATGGAGACTGATCGAAGCAGACTACTCGAGAGTCAGCTTACTGAGAATCACAAGAAGGTTCGAATGCTATCAGCGGGTACTGCATCTCTTGATCACATACTGACATTGGGACAGTGTCCAAGTCTTAGCCTTGGCTTGGGATACAAGGGATCAGCCTCCACATCTACAGAAATGAAATTTGTGAAGAAAGCTCTGAAGGAAGGAAAGAAACCCGAAGAGAAACGAGCTCAGGTTGAAAGAAACAAGGATGTCCTTCTGAAACCAAGAAGACGTGGAAACGGTTGTCACTTCTGTGGAAAACGAGGACACAATGTTAGATTCTGTTACTTTCGAAGAAGTCAGTATGAGAGAGCTTGGAGATTGAACCTTTGCTTCACAAAACCAACTGCCTATGGGTGTGTGTGGATACCTAAGAGAGACCTATATCCAAACTACAAAGAATACACTTCCTCAGTGTCAATCACTACTCGAGTTGAGTCACACACTGAAGCCACCCCTGATCTTGTTTGTAACTTTGTGAGAATACAAGAGGAAACTGAGATTGTTAGTCATGTTGCATACACCTTTGCTGAAGAAACATCACATACACAACTTCCCTGGTATTTTGACAGTGGGTGCTCAAAGCATATGGCTGGAAACGAAGACTACCTTGAGAAACTCAAACTCATCAGAGGTGGAAAAGTTACTTTTGGAGATGGTGGACAAGGCACGATTCGTGCAATTGGGATTACCTCCAGACCTGATGTACCTAAACTCTCGAATGTTTACTTTGTTGAGGGTCTCAAGGAGAATCTGATCAGTGTGAGTCAATTATGCGATGAAGGATTGGAAGTTATCTTTAACAGCAGAGAATGTCGCGCTGTTGATGCAAGAAACAATGTGGTGTTGAGAGGCATTCTCTCAGGAAACAACTGCTATCTTTGGAAACCTTCAAACGTGTGCTTTGCAGCTTCTGAATCCAAACTTGATCTCTGGCACAAGAAGCTGGGACACATGAACACCAATGGGCTTAGCAGACTTGTGAGTGCTGAAGTGGTAAGAGGTGTTCCTGATTTAGAGAAACAGACGGATGCTGTGTGTGGAGCATGCTGTCAAGGAAAGCAAGTCAAGGTGCAACACAAACAAATTTTAGAGATCAGATCTACACGGATATTGGAGCTGGTTCATATGGATCTTATGGGTCCGATCACCCCTGAAAGCATTGCTGGTAAGCGATATATCTTTGTGATGGTTGATGATTTTTCCAGGTACACTTGGGTGGATTTCTTACGCAACAAGTCTGATGCTCTTGAGAGCTTTAGAATTCTGGCGCTTCAACTCAAACAAGATAAGGGTGGAATCATTCAGATTAAGAGCGACCATGGTGGTGAGTTTCAGAATGAACAGTTTGATAAGTTCTGTCATAGTCAAGGTATTCGTCATCAGTATGCTGCACCGAGAACTCCTCAGCAAAATGGAGATGTGGAAAGAAAGAATAGAACGTTGAAAGAGATGGCAAGAGCAATGTTGTGTGGCAATAGTGTTCCATCTGGATTCTGGGCAGAAGCAATCAACATTGCATGCTATGTGATAAATCGAGTCTATGTCAAGCCAAAGACCAAGACTACACCATATGAGATCTTCAAGGGCAAAACACCAAATCTGAGTCACATGCATGTGTTTGGATGCGTATGCTACATTCTGAATGACAAAGAACATCTTGGGAAATTCGAGGCAAGGAGTGACATAGGGATGTTTTTGGGATACTCAGTGAATAGATCTGCCTACCGTGTGTTCAATCAGCGTACCAAGTTTGTTGGTGACAATGTTAACG